CTTACAAATGTTACCGTAATTATGCGTCACTTTAAATAGGGATTGATTCTACCACCAGGTTCTATCATGCGGATGATTACCAGTGACATGAGGACGTTATATCACATAACCAGGTGTTGTGAAATGCTATAATTTAAAAGCACCATTCCTCCCCAACATTTATGCTCACATTGATTATATATTAGTAAATGTGTGGGATTTTTTTGATTCAAATATAGGAAAACATTTTAATTATCGTAAATTTCATGTAGTCATACCATATAGCATTTCATTCTGCAAAAGTAAGTGGATGCCATTAAGAGTCCATTGTCACTGGTGCTTTGTGAAGAAGTTCTGGTTTTCATGAACACATCTAGTTGGCTTACAAAATATGCAAAGGAGAGAATAGATTACATACATAATCAATTGCTTTGACATATTATTATGAATTCCAAATATTTGTTTCGATTCTGCTGTTATCTGTTCTTAGCATTCCTAAAACAATGCTGCCTCTTACTTTTCTTTCCTAAACCAATGCACCATCTCTGTTTTAGTAGGGTCACTAGTAATAATGAGATCCATGTTCAAAACACAGATACATCTCCTTTTAATATAAAAAGAGGGGAGTTTGGCTCAAACTCATAGCTAAGAGGTTGTTTACTACAGTTTTGGAGCCTACAGTCCAAATTCCTGATAATTTCTAGAGATACTTTTTGGGATTTGCAAAGCATATACTTGCCTGCAATTTCAATAGTGCCTTTATTGTCCTTCTTCTTACCTGTCCCTCACTTTCCCATGGCAGCACTATTTTCATACTGCCTGCTCGACCTTTGCTTTCAATTAACAACAGCTTATGAAGAGCATCTCTGGTTTCTGCTCTCTGAAGGTGTGATTCTTGGGGACACAGGGTGTTTGGCAATGTTTGTACTGCTTTCTGAGGAACACTGCTTATTGCCTGCTAGGAGAGACTGCAGGTTTTACAGAAGGAATCCCTAGATTTGCAGTTTACCACTCATGAAAGAACTTTACTCTCATGTTGTACTTACCAGGTTACCTGGAGACGGGGGTGTTTTTTTGGCTTGGTTTTTTTTTTTTATTTGACGAAATATTGCATAGGTAAAAGACTAATTTTATTCTTTTAAACTATAAAATTTCAATAATAGAAACTGTTGATGAAGCAATAAATAAATTTCTAAGATTAAACCTGAGTCACGTTCCTTCATGGGTACTTGAGTGTCCCAGCTAACTTGACAATTGCTTGGTTCCACACCTTGCCCCGAAATCTCTCAAAGCATTAGAAGCCCCGTTTTTGATTTCAGTGCTGAAACATCCAAACACTCCCAGCACTCCTTTCTCTTTAGGTCAGTTGACTTGTAGTTTTCGTAGCTACTCTTTTGTTTAACTGCTTCATGCAGACAGAAGGACACAAGACAAAGAATCCTGCATACTTCTTCAATTTTGTTCAAACAGGAGTCCAGCCCCCTGCTTTATAAAGTCTTGTTTCTTGTATTCTGCTCAGGGATACGACTTGCCTTTTCCTCCTACTTCTTCCCACGTGTTCTTAAATTACATATTCCTCTGATCCTTAATGGTACCACATTCCTGGCTGTGAGAATGAAATACCTGGTTTTCTCCTGAGTTGTTTTTCCAGTTTTGCCAATGACTTGCCATGATATATTGGGCTAATTCCTAATGTTCCTCGCTAATCAGAGAACCCTTTTGTAAAACAACACAGAAAACACAGTTTCCTGGGGTGTGTTGGGGGTTTTGAGATCTAGTTTATATTTGATTACAGTTTTTGTGTAATTTTTTTTTCTTTTGAGGATGAAACCATATGAATGCAATGCAATCAATATTTGTAGTTTGTTTTTTTTAAATATTTTCTGGTAACGTTAATTTTTAAAACTATGAACTCAATTTAATAAAAATTTCTCAAAGTTGGAAAATGCTACAAGTTGTTTTTTTTTTCATTCTTTGGTAAGGTTCTTAACTTATTTATTCTTTACTGAACATTACAGTACTTCTGTTTTGTCACATCTTGTAACACACCTGTAACACTCCTTTCATTGCAACAGGTATTAAAGGCTTAAATCCTCAGTGTTCAACAGAAAAATCCCAACACACTTGACAGACTAAGGCTGGTTAATGGGGTGCAGCAGTTTAAGACTTAGCCACCAAGATTTAAGGTGTCTGCTCCGCTCTTCTGTCCAAGTATATGATCCCACAGAAGAGCGAGAGGAGGGGAGCATCAGCCCATGACTGAGATGACTGTGTATGATATGCAGCATTTTAACTCAAATACCCTTTGATTTAAAATAGGTGCTAGTCTTTCCTCTCAGGCACTTGAAGTGTTTACTAAATGAGTACAAATATATTCTCAAACTTTTCCAAAATGCAGCAGTAAGTTGATGAAATTGTGCATTATATCCAAAATAAATACTATGTACTCCAGAGATAATAGCTATTTTTATTTACAAAGTCATAAAAGTCAACTTTCACATTCACTTTGCAATACTAAGATGGATACTCAATAAAGCAAGAAATCCCAAATCAAAACAAATGCAGGGATAAGATATGTTAAACAATAATAATTGGGAAAAGTACATGATGTTTTTTCTGCTTATAACTAAATTTTAACTACAGAATCTGATTTTTTTGGCTTTCAAAATGATTTGCAACTGTGGCACTTACACAGGAGACTGAAACTAGGATGTATCTGTACAGTTATACAAATTCTGACAATATGAATTGTTAAATGCTTTCACTACATGTTCCGTGAACCCACTGCAAATACAACATTGCCTGCCCGTGAACTCTCTATGGTTTCCCATTCTGCTGTGAAAGTAATCTTCTTCCTGACTCACACTGTGTGAACAGGTGTCATCAAATAAAAAGGCATATGGCATCAATGTGGCAGCAGCATCTCTCGAGAAGGACGTCCTGTGGCTGATGGTGCATGTACCATCGCTCAGGCTGTCCCTCCAAACGCCCTGGGAGAGCAAACATGGGCAGCTGGGCCTCCACCTCAGGGGGAGCCTGAGGACAGGGATGGGAAATAAACAGTCTGCTCCGAGGTGCCTTCGCCAGGAGACAACTGAAAAATGAGTTTATGTATCAAAAGCAGCTGAATAACACAGGGCAACATAAATTACACTCTTCAGTTTCTCTGAAAGCGGAGCTAGGGCTGGGAAGTTGAGATTCATTCAACAAGAAAGTGAAAGGGCAGTTTAATACTGAATGGAAGCAGTGAAGTGGGGTTTTCCCTTTCTCTTGCCCTAAGTTAATGCTTTTACTATTGGATTACGGAGTGAAGCTCCCTTCTGCTCATTTCTTCTCTGGTCTGCTCATCTTGCAGTCCGTTTTCTGCAGTGCGTCACCCTTACATTTTATTCCTCATCAGGGTGGATGGAGAATACCTTCAGTATTACAGTCAGTCTAGTTTTGTGGTTTGGTGACGTGCTTTAAGAGATGTAAGTTTTAATTCTATGAAAAGCCATGTGTGTGCAAAGCCTGCACTTCCCGAGTGAATGCTTTAAGGAGCAGGCAGCAGTGCAGTTGAATAACCCAGACCAGCCTTTTTCAATCTACTACACTCAATATCCCAAATGTACGGAGTCTGAAGTAGAGCAATGACTGCGGTTTCTGACTTGCAGAGAGTAGGACGAATTCAGGTGCATCCACTTGCTTGGTGTGTCTGGCACAGCTGCTTGCTCAGTGTTTGGGTCTTCTGAATTGCTTAGGAAGCACTCGGACCTCTGTGGTTGTGGTGAACGAAGCATCTAACTGCCGCAATCCTAATCACCCTGCAGGAGTGTAAGAGATGGCTAGGACCTCTTATCTCCATCTCAGTCTGAAGTAAATTGTTGCAATTAGAATGGAGCATGATTATGGAGTCTGAAAAAAATCCCCAAACCCAAAGACAAAAACACACAAGAAACAAACACACAAAAAATATCCCTGAAGAAGTGTATACTCAATCATCAGTCCTACATCTATGCACAAGTAATCCCAGAGTACTCGGAGGGCTGCCCCACGTGCAAAGGTCCCCCGGTAAGAGCACCTTCACCCAGTCAGGGCATGGCAGGACTCAGTTCAACCCTGCACTGAAACCTGACCACCCCAGTTCCAGTAAACTGCATAAAAGCAAGAGTAATTCATGATTGTTATTAAATAAACACATACTGGAATAAACTGCATGAGAGTGCTTTAACTGGAGTTCTTTGTAGATTACATTCACATGGGTTTATATGAGTTTCTGAGTTATCTCAGGGCACGTCTACTGCGCAGTGCAAGGTGACTGGAGATGCATGAGCTAAGTTAACTCTAAATGAGCTAGTTCTGGTACCAGAACCCATACAGCCACACTAAGTTGAAATTCGTGCTGTCTGATACGCCTTGTTTCATTAGGTTAGCACAGTGCTACAGGTAGGCTAGCAGGATCACATCACTTCTGGTATACGAATTAACTCATGTCAAGTAGCTTTATGTGTATTTAGGACAGCAATAATCAACACAGAATGCTTCTCCTTTTTTTAAGTGAGCACAATGATAGATCAGGCCTTAAAATACAGTAACACCCAATTCATACAAAATTAAATCAACATGAGAAGTTGTGCCTTCAGATAAGGCAAATTTAAAATATCAGTTTCTACATACTGAAAATGCTGAAAGCAGTGACAATTCAACTGAGACTAATAGCAATTAAACCAAACATAATTATAATCTTTGAAACCTGCACAAAGGGAGAAAGGATAATGTGTCCAACAAATTCATATTCATCAGCTTAATGTTGTGCATGAATACTCCATTAGTAAGCCACAGGAAACATAGTTTTAGTGATGTTGTTTTCCCATGGCAGATTTTGTCATTGTGCTTGAAATGATACAAGTTAAAAATCGTGCACATGCTGCGCTCCCTGGACTGATGCTTCTCCTGGCATAAGCAGCCGTAGCTCCGTCAACTCCCAGTCTTCTGCAAATAAGCAACAAGGGTTTGCATCTAGAAGCTCACTGAATGTACTACTGGAAAAGCAACCATAGCAGCTCCTCATTCTGGTAGCTGATTCTTTGCAGTTAATATCGCTTCATTAATGAATCACAGAATGATGGATTGGAGACCGGTTTCCCTGCCTGCTTTATTAGGAGTCCGGCATTTATACACAGCTAGTTCCCATTCAAGTTAATCAGTGTGACCTTTAGCATGCTGTAGAATTAAAATTTTGTGTAAGGCTTAGACTGTATTTCTAGATAGCTGTTACAATGCGCCAGCCCTAGGACATTACTCCATGCCTCAGCTGACACAAGAAATCGCATCCTCCGTGGTTTCGGTAGGAGGTCAGGGAAGCGAGAGGAGTGCAGCCAGCAAAGGAGGCCCGAGACAACAAAGCTGAATTTGTTTGGAAGCGGAGTGGGATGTGGCCACGCAATCCATCCTGCTGCCTTGTTTGTGGCAGCAGTAATCTCTGCTACAGGGAGTTAAGAAGCAACACGTGAGAGAGAGATTGAAAGATGGAAGCTCTTACATCATGTAATTACTGCTGTTTCAGTGGGATCTACTGTCTATGCTGTGATGTCCCATCACTGTTATATTTTAATAAATGTCAGAAGATCATGGATTTACAATATTAACTCATTTTAGTACCACAAATGGGTGACATTGGTGACACTCCATCACAAATTTTATTTTTTCCAAGAAAACGCCAGCAGACTCCTCGCTTGTTTGGAACCATCATCAAAGCAAAGCTATCCCCATGAGCTCAGTGTGTAGGCATGATCATATGTGGAACTTCCACACTATTTTCACTCTGTGAAAACACATCACATATGTTTTCTATTCTTTTTAATGACAGTCTCTCATCTGCTTCTCATAATAGTAAAAAATCTGCTCAGCCCCTGGTTAAAGCAGGTTCCCAGTCAGTATGCTAGGATTTCCTGTCTTTTCATTTTGTGGCAATGCTCTTCTTCGACCGGCTTCTAGGTCTGGAAACAATTCCTGTCCCTTCAGGCACCTTCTACCCTGAAAGTAACAGACAGAGTAAACATATTATTTAGAAAAGGAGGGCACAGCAAATGCAGATTGGCATTAAAAAATATCTTTTTTTACTCTCAGGTTTTGCTCATTACCATTGCTAATATTTATTTGTTTGTTCGAAGTCATTCCTGTTTAGTAGTGTGGTCTGAAGCCAGAGGTAGCTCTGTGGGTACAGGTCGCTCTGGTCTGTGTGAACTGCTGTTCTTCTGTCCTTAATTTCACTTTGTACTTATACATTGCAGAAGAATGCTGGTTCTTTTCCAGAGCAATGAGAGCTCATCAAACCAAGGTGTTACTCTGCATCCAGCCCCCTGAAGTTAGAATAAATATGTCTAAAATTTTGAGGCTATACCATGAACTGTGTCATCATTTGGCAGCCTTAGCTTATTTAGTAACTAAAATCCTTTCTTAGCAACTAAACCTCTTTCAGTTATGTTTTTGTTTCTTTGTACTGATTTTTTTTTTAGCCTCTGTGAAGTATTTTTATATCTCCTGGCCTTTAAAGAAAAAAATCTCTCTTGCTATTCTGCAGAGCTGGGACAGTAGAGCCCCCTCCTGGGGACGCGGCGTTCAGGGCCAGAAGGTGTGTTTGTGCCCAGAAGCCACAGGACAGGGTGTGATAAATGCACTTTTCTTTTGGCCTACCTGCATTAAACCAGTGATTGTACTGCATAATGCACTGGCTAATGGTTTCAGGGTTGTGTCCACATTCTTTGCTAAGCTTGCAAAGCTTACGTGATGTACTCCACTTACTGAAATCTTAATATATAATTTTACTCAAATTTTGCTCCTTAAATAGAAAGGGAACATGACTGTAAAGATATCAGAAACAAGAATATTCCATCCATACTGGAAATTCCATCTAAATTTTGTCCTGTATTAAATTGTTACATACTTCTAAAAATGTGCCTAGATGGTTAGACCATTCTTCAACTTCCCTTTTCCAAGCTAGAAACGGAAACTGTGTGTTCTTCCCATAGTTTATCCTTCACAACAGTTAAAAGAAAAAAAAAAAATAGGCCCCTGTTCCTTCTGTCACTTTTCTGCTATGTTTTAATGATTATTTCATTGAGCAGAAGCAGCCACTCAAGCCTTTATCTAAAAGACAAGTTAGCGTAACTATTTCTCAGCTACTGAACTGGCATTTGGAGGTTGTGTTCATCTGTCATCTCTGCGGCAACGCAGAAGGAAAGGTACTGTCTGACTGGAGCTGGTGACTGCCTGCAATTAATCTCATGTGAGATTAAAGCATAAATCCACTAGGGTAGATGTTGTATCATGATGTACTGGAAAGGACCTGACTATATATAGTTTGCCTTATGTTCAGTGGATGTGAAATGTTAAAAATATGTATATTAATTACTTCTTCTGAATTTCTTCAGTTTCTTGATAAATCTAACGGTCCTAATGTCATGACACAACATCCAGATATTGGCAGGACTTTGAGCACCCCTTGGAGCGCCTGGATCTTGCAGCATATCCAGCTATGTAAATTAATCTCAACAGAGATTTAAAAACTTAGAAGGTTGTTTGAAAAGATTTTCTTCAGAGTTTAAACACAGTAACAATAATGGGAAGATTATATTATTTACATTATAGTAAGATTATATTATTTATTATATACATAACTAACATAACTGAAAAAATAAAAGCAGGAGAGTACACTAACAAGAAAAGTAACAATTAAATTCTAAACTTGAGCATATTTGTATTAAAATACTTAATTCTGTAACAGCCAACCAGTGCTGCAGTAAGTATTACGTTTTGTACAAAAAATGAGGCCAATATTCTTTTTTTGGAAGTGATATATTTTAGTTGTATTAAAGAACAGCTCTTCACTATGTGAGATCAAGATTTGTGTTCAGGTGGAAGTGAACCTTCCCCAGCTTGTGATTGTAGCTGGTTTAAGTCCCTGCAGAGCCTTGACTCTGTCTCTTGTCTCTCATTTTAATCTTTGTAATTGCAAAGATAGCAATTGTTCCTTAGTCCTACTCAGAAGACTCTTTTTTTGTTTGGTTGGTTTTCCCTAGATCGAAGTTTCTTCTAGTGGTGTGCAATGGAAGAGTTAGCACTTCAATCAAAGATATTTCAGCCAATAAATAGAGATGCACTAAATAGATATAAACAATGACTTTGGAGTAACAGTGAGAGCGTGTATGTAATTCAATATGATTTTAAACAAAATATAGCTTCTGTCATGTTTAAAAATTTATATATTTAAAAACCAATTTCATAGAAATTGGCAAAATTATGTGTTCAAAATAACAAAAACAACTGCCAAAATGTTGATGCTCCCATTTGATAGTTTTACCAATTGCAGTGTCGTTGCACACACTGTATATTCAGCAGCAAGAGCTTTTGGCCTTTTTCCACTTTACCAAGAGACAGATGTAAGACCTGTTACCATTTTTTCCCTTTAAGTTACTATGGTATATTGTCTAAAATTTTACTGAGAGCAGCATTATCCAGAAGAAGTCACCATAGCAAACCCCTTTAGAAATGCATTCATCATGTCACAAAATGCTACATTTGTTAATTATCTTTTCTTAGCGCTATAGCAGACCTTCAAATTAATAGCTGTTGCAAACTATAGGCAAACAGTAGGTGCCTGACTTAATTAACTCTGACTCTGCGTGATGTGATTTGTATCTCAGCGTTGCTTGTGCTAAAAATGGGCACTGGTTTTCCTATGGCATATGGCTATATTTCTCCAAAGGGCTGTCCTATAGCAACTTTAGGATCTAGAATACTTTGCTGTTATTTGATGATTTAGTTATCATTATGGCCTGCAGGTCTAAAGATCTGCAAGTACCAGGGCACAGCTAATGGAGTAATGCCAAACTAATTGCATTATTGTTTTGATTAAGACCTCCTATAAATAACAAATATAAAACTGTTAATAGGAGTACCAGAACAGATTTGCTGTATGGTCTGGATAGAAACAGACTGTCTGATGACATGGGTGGGATCTTCCAAAAGGGCAGAATCCCACTGCACTCAAGGAAGAGATTCCTTATTTTTCCCTGCAAGGTTAAATTCTAACCCCAAGCACTGCCTCCTCCCTGCACCACTGTGGCCGTGCACAGGTCCCCTCAGCTACCCAGGGCAGGAACTCAGCTCCTCAGCTGCTGGTGTGGTTGTACTTCTTTGCTGTCCTGTTACTGGTAAAGTATCATGAAACTTCATGAAACTTCTGGGGACTCCATGACTGCAGCTGAACACTGAGAAAAATCCTTCCGGACAGATTTCAGTCCTCACTCTGGGGAGGATGACATAAAATAATAAAACTGTTCTCTTCTGAAAGCATAAAGCAATCACGCTCACAAAAAGTCCTGTGTGGATACAGGTGGGACTCTCTGTCAGTCATCTCTGCATCCCACTTAACAGGAGGCATGCCAGCACACTTACACATACTTCAATTTTTTACAGATCTGTAAAAAATCAAGGTTTTTCTTTCAAAATATGCAGTTGTGAATGTCCCATCCTTTTTGGTCATGGTGAAAAGACTTCTATATTTTCAGGCATAAAATGCAGCACAAAAATATACCAAAAAGTGGTAATTGTCTTTAACATTTTACTACAGAATGTGTGGCAAGTCCGTATCAGAAAATGTCATATACAATAACTATCAAGTAATTAACCAATAATTACATCAATACTTAGAGTCACACCATATTTTAATACCTGATGAATATTTTTTTGTTTGTTTGTTTTTAATGTTTTTTTTTCTCAGTTTTTAAATGTGAAGGGAGGTAATATACTCATCTTAAGGTTAGTAGTCCGTATCAGAAAATGTCATATATAATAACTATCAAGCAATTAACCAATAATTATATCAATACCTAGAGTCACACCATATTTTAATACCTGATGAATATTAATATTTTTGTTGTTTTTAATGTTTTTTTTTTCTCAGTTTTTAAATGTGGAGGGAGGTAATATACTCATCTTAAGGTTAGTAACTGTACTTTCTATTTTAAGTTGAGTCCTTACCGTCTTTGCAAAGTACCAAATGTTCCTATTTCCTATGAGAAGGGTTTCCAAATAAGCCTTTGGCAATATTTCTGAACAAAGTGGGACTACTGTAGAAATAAACTGGCTTTGCGTCTCAAATCTCCATGGGACTTATGAGGCAAAATGACTTCAGCGGAGAAAGTAGGTTAAAGCAAGGACAGTCAGCCTCCTCAATTAACAGAGCTGAAAATAAGCACAAATACCCACCCCATTCAGTACACTTAAGATTCAGTAGTTCTGAAAAACAGCACAGGTCAAAAAGAAGAAAACTAATAAGATTTTAAAAAACCTGCTCTGTAACTCTTGCTTGGATGAGGCATCCTGTAAGTCTGCTGTGACTCAGCTTTAAACTGGGTTCACTGTACAGATGTAATCTAAAAAATTTCATTTGATAAAATCCTAAAATTTGTTGGTAGTCTGGTTTTGGACATGAACGTTTCCTGAAAACCTAATTTGATTTTCTTTTTGGTGTGTGTTCCTGCCAGTATGCATTAATGAGTGTTAGAGGGTTTGGGGTTTTTTCGTCTTTTTTTTTAAGCATTGGATCATAGGTAATTTGCTTGTAATTTTGTTAATCAATTATTTTCAGAATTTCTTCTTTCAGGCATGGATTCTCTAGGAATTAAAATGTATTCCTATTTTTTCCCTACCTAGTAAGAATTAACAGGAGAAAGAGTGTTTTGTTAATCAATTATTTTCAGAATTTCTTCTTTCAGGCATGGATTCTCTAGGAATTAAAATGTATTCCTATTTTTTCCCTACCTAGTGAAACAGCTGTTGTTATTTTCTACAATACATAGTTGTTAGCAACAACAAGGATTTTTTCCCCAGCTCCTACCTATAGCTATAATAAGCTGTTACTTCTGGAAATCCTTTCTTAAATTCCCTAATATATTGTTCCATGGCTTCTCAGCTCCAGTTATGAATTACCTTGAATGCAGTTATTCGTTATTTACACTGAGAATTTTTCA